GAAATGAAAAGCCCACATGCTTGCTGACTGCTGCAGGATGGGGGTGGGAGGAGCAGGCAACTAAGGCTGGGTCTGAGTATGCCCCCCTCCAAATACCCCTGGCCCCTCCCCTTCCTTCACCCTCTTCCCAATCTGTCATCATTCCCTTTGAAATGTCTCTCATCCAGCCCTCCCTGCCGGCAGCTTCCCTGGACCGCAGCCTCACCCCTTCCCTGCCCTGACTGCAGCAACACCTCTCCCCTTCCTGTCCACTCTGCAAGGGCTGCCTGCTGAGCCTTCCCGAAACTCTTCTGCAGCACCCTTCCCGGCTCCAGAGCCCACCATGGCCTGAATCAAGCGCAAATTCCTGTCCTGTTAGGAGAAGCCCCCCTGGGCCTTAACATTCTTATCCCAACCGTTTACTCCCCGTCCCCCGGTCACGGTGCATTCCCACAGCAATGCGGGAAGGAGCACAGGAATAAGCGACAGCCCAGCTCCCAAGGGTGCAGGATCTGAGGGGGAAGCGAGGCCCATAGACACAGGGAAAGTTGATTTTTCACACCCTGTTCTGCAGTGCAGGAGCTGAACGTGATGTCTGTACTCCCAGTACAAAACACCCCCGCTCAGACTAGCCTCTCCAGGGGAGCCTGGAATACACCATGCTCCCTATTCAGGCCTCTGAGCTGCTGGCACCCGTTTCTGGACCCCACCAGAGGACCCGCACACCCACATTCCCACCCTGCCCAAACACAACCTGTCCCCTCCATGGCCCCCTTCAGGAGGCCTTCCCTGACCATGTAGGAGGCCTGTGGTTTTCCTCTCTGGCATCTACTTCTTCCTTACTCAAGTAAGGGTCCTCAGTTCCTATAAGGAATCCACTGCTCCCACAAGCTCAGTCCCTGCACTTTAGCTGGGACTAAACCCAGGGCGTAGGAGTAATGCCCGTAATAGGGTCTATGCCAATCGGCGTGTCATGCCCGCTGCCCACAATGGGCTCTGGGATAGACAGGAGAACCCAGCCAGGCCATGGGCCTTCCGAGGAGATGCTGGCACAGAGGAAAGCCCTCTTTCCTGCAGCACCCAATCTGAGCATATGAGCTTCTGGCCCCGCTGGAGAGTGCAGCCTGTTGGGGAACGGGACCAACCCCAAAGCAGCAAGCTGGGATGGAATGAAACATCGGGTACTGACGATATGGCTTAAGCCCTGCAACTCCAAATCCTGCTCTACTGATTGATTACTGCTTGCTTCAACTGGTTTAGGGAGTTCTGATTGATTAGAAGAAAAATAATAAAGAATTGGTGGCACATTTAAGTTTTCATTTATTTTGAGCGAGACAGCAAGAACAGGTGAGGGGCAGAGCGAGAGGATCCCAAGTAGGCTCTGTGTTGTCAGCACAGAACCCGATGTGGGGCTCGAGCCCATGAACTTTGAGATCATGACCTAAGCCCAAATCAAGAATTGGACACTTAACTGCCTGAGCCACCCAGGCACCCCAATGTGCCACCAATTCTTACTTATTTTCCCCTTCTCTAGATCCCTAGAAGCCTGCACAGTTCATGTTACACAATCAAGAATCCATCTACCATTGTTCATCATCGGGGAAATACAAATCAAAACCACAATGAGATACCACCTCACACCTGGCCAAAATTAACAACACAGGAAACAACGGATGCTGGTGAGGACACGGAGAAAGGGGCGCCCTCTTACGCTGCTGGTGGGAAAGCAAACTGGTGCAGCCACTCTGGAAAACAGTGTGGAGGTTCCTCAGAAGTTTAAAGATAGAACTACCCTACGACCCAGCAATTGCACTACTAGGTGTTTATCCAAAGGATACAAAAATACAGGTTCGAAGAGGCACATGCACCCCGATGTTTATAGCAGCATCACTGACAACAGCCAAATTATGGAAAGAGCCACCAACTGTCCACCAACTGACGAATGGATAAAGAAGATGTGGTATGTGCGTACACACACACATATATATACATGTGTGTATATAGGTGTATGTATATATATGTGTGTATATATAAATGGACTATTACTCAGCCTTCAAAAAGAATGAAATCTTGCCATTTGCAACAACGTGGATGGAGCTACAGTGTATTATGCTGAGCAAAATAAGTCAGGGAAAGACAGATACCATATGATTTCACTCATATGTAGAATTTAACAAAACAGATGAACAAAAGGAAGGGAAGGAAAGGTAAAATAAGATAAAAACAGAGAAGGAGGCAAACCAGAAGAGACTCTTTAAACTATAGAGAAGAAACAGAGGGCTGCTGGAGGGGAGGGGGATGGGGGATGGGTTAGATGAATGATGGGCATTAAGGAGGGCACCTGTAATGAGTACCAGGTGTTATCTGTAAGTGATGAGTCACTAAATTCTACTCCTAAAACCAACACTACACTCTATGTTAACTAACTTGAATTTAAGTAAAATCTTGGAAAGAAAAAAAAAAGAAGAATCCATCTAGAGACTTACTGCTTTCCCATTCTAGACTATAAGATCCTTGGGGAGAGGACCCACATTGTACATACCATCAGAACCCCTCAGGGTCCAGCACATTTGGCACATGGTGGGAGGTCAATGGAGTGACTGGGAACCTGGCTGTGAGGGGAGCCCGGACTTAGGCCCTGGGCTCCTGAGAGGCACCATACCCTCCCTGGACCAGGCCTAGCCACTTGGGAGGACCCTGACCTCACCACTTTCTCCCAGGAGAGACTTCCTGCCCTCACTTCATTCCATCCATGGGCACAGACAACGAAACTGTCTACCGGTGTCAAATACCAGGAAGGGAAAGGGCAGTATACTAAAAATCCAGTGCTCTCCTTAGAGAAAGGCAAGCACAGAATCATAGTCCTGGTGAGAAAACACAAATGTTTCTGGTGGAATGTTTCTGGCATCCATTTCAGTCACGGGCATGGGGTGGCTATAATCTGGGACTGATGGCTCTTAAAGGCCTGTGTCCTCTTGCATAACTATGTTCCTTGGGCATAGTTACCACAAATAGAGGCACAAAAAGGGCACATAGCACTTTTTGTAACTACTGACAGCAAGTTAATGGAGGGCTACGGTAGGCAGCAGAGGAGCAGAGCTGACAGCAACTGATTAAAGAGGAGGCGTTTACTGAGTGCTTACTATACTCCAGGTACTTTAATTCCCTTGCAAGTTTTCATTTATTTAAGCTTTACCACAATCCTATGAGAAAGGCAGAATTATTGATGCCATTTTATAGATGGGAACACTGAGGCTTAGAGATTAAGTAATTTGCTCAAGGTTATACAGCAAGCAAATGGGGAAGCCAGAGTGGAGCCAACCCCTTTCATCACTGTAGGGCACCGCCCTTTGGTTACATTTACATTCTGGACAGAATTGGGGCAGGTAGGGGAGTTGCGGGGGCGGGGGGGGGGTGTCCAGGTCAGTGACCGAAGAGTAAGAGGGTCTGGTGTTTATATCAAGTTTAACTACTCTCATTTTCTGCCCCTACTCGGGAAGGCTTCCGGGGGGAGGCCAGCTTCCAGGTGGTGAAGGGGGAGGTTGCAAGGTGAAGGAGCGGGGGTTTCCTGGTCTGGGGCAAAAGCAGGGGAGGAGGGGAGGGTGACTTGGATCCCAGGAAGGACCTCACACTGGGCAGGATGAAAGGCCCCCATGTGAAGGTGATGTGGGCACCTGGAAGGAGATAGAAGCCCCATTTCAGGCTTCTTATAGCCAGAAAAGCAAAGACTTGCATAAAGGACAGAACCCAGGACCTTTGCAAAGCAACAGCAAACGCCCTTCCAGAAGCACCTAGTGAAAATCATTATAGCCCAAAGGCTGTGCTAGATAAGCACTGACAATACTCCTACTCAAAACTCTACTTTACCTCTAAGGCCCCACCTATGTCTCCGGGGCTCCTAGGCTCCCCTCAGCCTCTCACTCTCCTTTGCTCCAACCACACTGCCTTCCATTCAGGTCCTTCCCATCTCATGCCCTTCTTTCTTTCTGGAATTTTCTTCTCAATCTCCCCACTCACAATAACTCCTACTCACCCTTCAGATTTTCCCATAAATGTTTTTCCTCACAGATGCCTTCCCTGATACCCCTGGACCAAATCAGGCCCTCCTGTTACCAACTCCTGTCGCACCCTTTCTCCCCATCACAGGGACACAGTAACAATTCCAGAATCTGTAGCCATAATGGCTGGGTGTGACCCCTGGCTCTGCCACTTGGGCAAGTCTCTTAGCTGTGCCTCAGTCTCCTCATCTGTAAAAGGGAGAAAACCATACCTCTTCATAAAGCTGTTCTGAGGGTTGAGTTAATGCACTCCGATCAATAGTGGCCCATGGCTAATGCTATCCGAGGATCAGTTATTACATAACTACTATAAATAGGCCTTAATCACAACGGTAATTAAATAACCCATTACACAATTGGTTAGAGTCCGTCTCTTCTGCCAGGGTCCCAGCCCCCCACCATCCACAGGTAGGGCAACCCCTGAAACCTTTCAGAAGCTGCAGTGGCGCGCAGTGAAGAAGCAACTGCCATTTCATAAAAGCGAGCATCTGCTTCGGATTTCTTGCGGTCAGCAGTCAGCGAACACAGGAACGAATGTAGGTCCTTCGTAAAAGCAAAGCGGCAGAACGCGACCTTCCAGACAGTGAGGGAAACCTGCACGTTCTCTGGGTGGGACTGGGATGCTGCCTGAGCCGCTGTTATAACTAAAGAGCACACATAGCACGGTGCCTTGCACACAAAGAAATGCTGACTCGTTATTTGCTGACTGCAGGACTGAGCCAGAGCACAGCGCCCCCCCCCCCCCCCCGGCCCCCTGGAGGAGCTTGGTGGGACAGTCACAGTGAGTTCCTACGAGCACTAACGAGAAAAAGTTTCTAAGTTGGGCTTCTACCTTGGGCCCCCTGGGCACAGGGAAGCCAGCTGGGTCCCTCCACGACCAAGAATCACCAGAAGGGCTGCTCCTGGAGGGTGCACTGCCACCGCCCAGCCCCCGGTCAGGTTCGGGTCGGTGGCGGCACCCACCTGCTAAAGATGTCTCCAGAGACCTTCTGCAGGTACTGCAGGGCATCGGCCGCTTGCTGGATGGCCTCCTCTCGCCTCAGGTCCGGCTGGATGAGGGGCACTGCGTAGGTCTGCCCCGCCAACGAGTGCTGGGTCCTCATGGGAGTCATGGTGCCTGTGGGGGGGGAGCCAGAGCGTGAGGACCGCCCGCACTCACCCAGCACACGGCACAGTGCGGGGTGAAGAGAGCCCAGGCCCCCATCCCGACTGTCTGCCTCACTTTAGCCAGTGCGGGCCGGGAGGCGAAGGACAGAGCACTGCGGTGGAGGCCAGGGGCTCCCAGGAGCTGCTGCTCTGTTGATGCTCATTGAGTGAATGAGGGAAGGAAATTGGGAGGGGCAATGCACCCTTTCCATACATTATCTTATTTCAAATTGAACAAGAAAGAAATGAACAGGAAAGAAACCCTGGCTGTAGAGTTCAAAAGAGGCTGGGAGCAGGGGGAGGGACTTGGGGGGAAATACGCCTGCGTCAACTGCCAAATGATACCCAAGTATGGAAAAGCACAGATGTGGACTCCCGAGTTCTTTCCACTTTGACCCTGAAGAACTCAAGACCTGTTCCTGAGACAGGATAGGTGGTGGCTGGTGACTCTGCCCACACCAGTGTCTGGGCTCTGCCCCCCGAGGCTAGAGCTAAGGGGGGGCCGGGAGGAAGGAGGGACATGTGGGGGAGGGGGACAAGAAGGAAAAACACTCCTTCGAATTGCAAGATGAGGGCAGAGTCTATTTATACTGGGTTTAATTAACTCCGCTCCCTGGTGCCACTAAAGCAGCAATCACACTGCAGACGGCACTGATTTGATTGGCAAGGGACGTACCAGGCAGAATATTAAGGCACCGGGCCCCTATAAATAGGCCTAATCACAGCCCCTCAGAAAAAGATGGTGAGGCAGATATTAATCAGACCTGGCACTGTGCTACACACCTGTTCTCTCAGGCACCGTGTTGGGGCCCCTGATTGCAACAGAGGTGTGGGTGTGACAGGGAGGACTTAGGAGGCTTCATTTAGGCTTAAGAACTGTGTGGCTTTGGGTAAGTTGCTTGCCTTCTCTGAATCTCTGATTCTTCCCATTTCCCGTTCTGCAGACTGAAAATGGCACTACTCTATAAGAAGTGGTTATTCCCAATGTATCACACCATCTTCTCCAAGGAGTTTACTCCTTTGCTCCCTCTGCTGGCTTCCCCAGCCCTTCCTTCTACCCTACGGGGTCTCTCCTACCCTGCCTAGGCCAGGCCTTTTCATGATCTGAAATGACGGGTCTGCTCTTCAACTTTTTCTCCAGCAGTGACAATCCTCAGCTTCCCAGGCCTGAATCATCATCAGGGCCCAGGAGTCACTCCTCACCTCCCCACTTCTCTCCCCTCCTATCAAATGACCAAAGTGGGACCAACAGATGCCTAACTGAGGAAACTAACTCTGAGACCACCATACTCCCTTTCAAGGAGCCCCCCTATTTATACTCGATGCAAATTTGCTGGCCATTCGAACTTAATTTTGTACCTCAGTTTTCCCATTTCTAAGATCAGGAGAGGGTAAAAGGTAGAAGATACTTTCTGTGCACATCTTGAGATACATTCCTCCTAAGTTACCCTGTGTGTGTGTGTGTGTGTGTGTGTGTACACATGCATTAACATGAAGGGGTAGTACAGGCACAAATCTCCCAAACAAGGAAGTGGCAGGTCCATTCAAGAATTAAGAGACTGAGTATAGCTACTTAGTGGCTTACTTGTTCTGTCTGCAAACATCTACTGATCAACTATTAGATGCCAGCCATGATCACAACGAAGATGAACAGGACACTATGCTAGTCACAGAGACAGCCTCAAAACAAACACCATGTGATAAGCGGTCTAATTTAGCCAGGAATGCAATGCTAGGGAGGAAGCACTGAGGAAGGAGTGATAAATCCCTCTGGAGGTTAGGGGAGCCAGGAAAAAGCCTCTCAGCAGAAGCTGCATCTCCCTACCAGGCCTGGAGAGGCAGTGCAGGAGAGAACATTCCAGGTAGAACAGCTTGCACAAAGCCGTGTAGGGAATGCCAAGCAGCTTGAGTGATACAGGTATAGCGATCCTTGGGCCATTAGCAGGAAGAAATGAAGAGGTCAGACTGTGAGAAACCCCGGACACCATGGCAAGAAGTTCGGACTGAACCCCTTAGGCCTGTGCTTGACCGACACGGTAGCCACTCGCTGCATGTGGCTATGAGGCGTCTGAAACACAGCCAATCTGAGTTGAGGTGCAGTGTAAGTATAAAACGTTACACCAAATTTCAAAGACTTACTAGGAAAAAAAATGTAGAATATGTCAGCCAAATTTTTATATTGATTACAGGCTGAAACAACCATATTTTAGATAGAGTGGGTTAAAGAAAATCTGTTACTAAATCAACCTCACCTGTTTTTTACTTGTAAAAGCGCATGTGTGCCTCACACCGTATTTCTATTGCATGACACTCCCTTACGGAATGTGACCAAAAGCATGGACTCTCCCAGAAAATGAACATACACCATACCTGTCTCTCAGAGCAGTTTATAATTTCGGAAGTGTATAAAGTCCTTTCTGCAAACCGTCCCCGGGCACCCAGCTCCCAGGGTCTACAGCCCGGGTTAAAACCAATGCTGTAGGGGCGCCTGGGTGGCTCGGTCGGTTGAGCATCTGACTTCGGCTCAGGTCATGATCTCACGGTTTGTGGGTTCGAGCCCCACGTCGGGCTCTGTGCTCTCAGCTAGCTCAGAGCCTGGAGCCTGCTTCGGATCCTATGTCTCCCTCTCTCTCTGATCCTCCCCTGCTCACGCTGTCTCTCTCTCCCTCTCTCTCTCTCAGAAATAAATTTTAAAACATTAAAAAAAATAAAAAATAAAAAACCAATGCTGTAGGCAGTCAGGAAGCAAGCACGCGGTAAGCAGTGTGAGGTCAACTAGGAGGGGCCGGAGACGGGCGGGAGCTGCAAAAGAGGGGTCCGAGGATTCGGTTCAGCCCACCTGCAGGGCCCGGCGCCCAGAGGGTGGAAAGGCACGTGAGGGTCACGGGCCCGGCGGGCCGCGACAGGAAGGGAGGCCTGGCGCCCGCGGCCGCGACTCCGGCGAGCCGGCAGGGCCCTCCCCGCGCCCCCGCCTCGGCCTGGGCCTCACGCCGGGGAAGAGCGGCGTCCCGGGTGCAGGCGAGCGGGGAGGGACCCGTCTTTCTGGGGCCCGAGGCCCGACACCGCTTCCGGGCGGCGGATCGCTGCGCGGCGGGGTGGGAAGTGAGGCCGGGCGCAGGCCTGTGCGGGCGGCGGCCGCGGCGCCCGGGCTCGGCGCCGGGCCTCGGGCGGAGGAAGGGGTGCAGCGGCTCCCGCCTCCCCGGGCTCCTCCCTCCCCGCCTCTGCTCTGCGTCCCGCCCCCCACGTCCCCGCGCGGCCCCCGGGCCCGCGCCCTCCCCCGGCTCGCCCGCCGCCCGCCGCCCGCCTGTTCCTCACCTGCGCGCCGCCTGCCGCCCGCCGCTCCGGCCGCCGCGCTTCCGCCGCGCCCGCTCCGCCGGGTCCTGGCGCCGCCGCTACCGCCGCGCGGCTGCTCCGCCTCTCGGGGCGCTCCGCCGGCTGGCGGAGCTCTGGGGGCGGCCAGTGACGGGTCCCCGCGGGGAACCGCCCTCTCCGCCGCCCGCGGCCCCCGCCGCACCCCTCGCGCGTACTGTGGGCGCCCGGCCGCCCGGAGCCGCCGTCCAGGCGGGCATCCCGTCCCCCCGCCGCCTTCCGCAGGCTGCCCGCCCCATCTGACCCCCTTAGAGCGCGACCCCCGGGCCGGGTCCGGGAACCGCCCTCTCCAGCCGCGCGCTTTACCGCGGTTCCGCCTGCGCCTGTGGCCGGGGCTCTGCCTGTCCCCTCAGAGTCCCCGAGAAGTGACCACGTAAGGCAGACGCGGAAGGACAGCCACTGTGTGAGTGCCCGGGGCAGTCAAACTCAGACGGACAGAAGGTAGAGCGGTGTGTGTGCGGCGGGGCGAGGTGACCGTCTAATGAGCACAGACTTTCCGTCGGTCTCTCTGCGCAGACCTGACTCACGCTCCTCTAAATTCTCTGCCCGGCGAGGCTTGGACCTGCATCGCCCAGTTGTAGTGGGAACCCTCTTAGGTCTTCTTAGCCGGAGTGCCCTCGACTCTACATCAGATCACCCTCCATATCTGACCACGTACCCCATTGCTCACGATCCCCGCGCCCTCCGATGCCAGCCCATCGCCCGGGCTGCTTTCAGCGAGAGCCCTGTTCGGTCCGTTGAGCAGAGAATTACCTACCCAGTTAGTAATTTTGCGTCCTCCGTCCCCGCCCCCACCTGCTCCTTGGCTCTAGATCCCCACTTGTCCATGCTGTATTTGCAAGTGACCCTGGCTCTATACGAAGCCTCTTCCCCCCTGTTGCAGAATAAATCTCTTTTCACTGCTCTAACTACTGTGCAGCTCTGGTTTTCTTTGACGTGTCTGTTTGGGGTGAGGAGAAAGTTCTGGAGGTTGATAGCGGTGATGGTTGTACAACAGTGTGAACGTACTTCATGCCACTGAACCATATCCTTAAATATGGTTTAAATGGTACATTTATGTGATGCACATGTTACAACAATCAAAAGAAAAGCCGGTTGGTATTTTTAAAGACTAAACAAAAAGTTAAATCCATGAAAGAAGCATCAGTCCAGAGATCCTGCAGCAGCCCTGGGGACATTCATGTCCTTGTCTCAGAGTTCTTGGCCCCTCTCTTGTAAAAGAGAGGCAACCGTAAGGTTGCCTGATAAAAATACAGAACACCAATTTTGAATTTCAGATAAGAAATGAATATATAGAGATAGATAGATATTCCAAACTAAACATGAGACATACTTACACTTTAAAAAATTAATTAGCTTATTTGAAATTCAAAATTAAGTAGATGTTTGATATTTTTGTTTCCTAAATCTGGCAAACTTAGCTCTCTTCTTAAAACTCTTTGAGTTTTGTCCTCCTTCCCTGCTGCTCACCCCGCCCCAGAGTTAGGTTAAATTGTCTTTTTTTAATGTTCATTTTTGAGGAGAGAAGCAGATGGAAAGTGAGCGGGATAGGGGCATGAGAGAGGGAGACACAGAATCTGAAGTAGGCTCCAGGCTCTGAGCTGTCAGCACAGAGCCTGATGCGGGGCTCGAACTTATGAACTGCAAAATCATGACCTGAGCCAAAGTCAGACACTCAACTGACTGAGCCACTCCAAATTGTCCTTTTTTGACCAGAACATTCCAATGCCTTGCTGGCTGCAACATACGATCCCCACCAATGATGAGGAAGAGACGAGTTTCCACCTGTATTGTAGACTGAATGTTTGTGTTCCCACCCCCCCCAAATTAATATGTTGAAGCACTAACCCCCAGTTTGATGGTGTTTGGAGATGAGGCCTTTGGGAAGTAATGAGGGTTAGGTGAGGTCATGGGGATGGTGCCCTCACGATGAGAGTAGAGCCCTTAAAAGAAAAGACACCAGAGAGGACCACCATGCAAGGATGTAGCCAGAGGATGGCCATCAGCAGCTGGGAAGAGAGTTCCACCAGTAACCAAATCTGCTGGCACCTTGATTTTGGACGTCCAGCCTCCAGAACAATGAGAAATAAATTTATGCTGTTTAAGCCACTCAGTCTATGGTATTTTGTTTTTGACTAATACAACCTGCAAACACATCTTCTCCTCACTCCACCTGAATAATGACTGAGTAGGGTTTAAAAAAATTTTTTTTAATTTGTTAAATTATTTGTTTTATTTGTTAAATTATTTGTTAAATTATTTAATTTGTTAAATTTGTTAAAAATTTTTTAATTTGTTTAAAAAAAATTTTTTTTTTTAATTTCTAGGAGAGAGAGAGAGACAGCGTGAGCAGAGGAGGGTCAGAGAGAGAGGGAGACACAGACCGAAACAGGCTCCAGGCTCTGAGCTGGCAGTCAGCACAGAGCCCGACGCAGGGCTCGAACCCACGAACCGTGAGATCATGACCTAAGCGAAAGTCGGACACTTAACCGACTAAGCCACCCAGGTGCCCCTTTTAAATTTATTTTGAGAGAGAGAGAGAGAGAAAGAGAATGAGCAGAGAGAGAATCCCAAGCAATCTCACAGCACAGGGCCTGACACAGGGCTCAATCTCATGAACCTCAAGATCATGACCTGAGCTGAAATCAAGAGTCAGGTGCCTGAGCCACCCAGGCAACCCTACTGGCCAGGTTCTAAAAGGTATTTTCGGATATTCAAAACTCATCAAAAAGGGGAAGTATGTCATCCAGAAAGGAGAGCATGCAAGCCTGGGGCCCTGCCATTCATTCTCTGTGAAACTTTGGGCAAGTCATCTAAATGGGGCCTCAGTTGTCCCATCTATAAATTGGGCTTATGAGTGCTTGCTTGCCCTGCCTCCTTTTGAGAACTTCAGAGACAGGGTGTCAAAGTCACTTATGATCTATAAAGATTATTCGTACATGAAAGGAAATTCGTATGTGCTCCAGGATACTTGTCTATACATAGACACACACACACACACCACCACCACCACCACCGCATATCAAAACTAGCTGTGTTTTCTCAAGAAGTGCTACTAGACAGCAGCCCCCAACCCAGAGCACCCAGTTCACCCTCGGTTCACCCTCCACTTCATAAAAGCTCTTTCCCTAATCTACTACTGAGAGGCTCATCCCACACCCAATTTTAAAAGTTTCCTAGGAGCTGGATTGTAAAGACCACTTGAGCTGCAGTGGGAATACTTGACCTCGGTCGAGACAAAGAAAAGCCACCTGTCATCCTAATGTGTGAACACTGAGGCCCTACCTGCCCTTGCTGGCCTGCTATGTCACTCCATTTATATGAGATATCGGGACAGGGAACCCATAGAGACTGAATGCAGGTCGGTGGTTGGTGGGAGCTGGAGAGAGGGGAGGAAGAGAGATCACAGCTGATGGGTGCAAACTTTTATTTTGGGGTGATGGAAAGGTGTTTTTTTTTTTTTTTTACAAATAGTTTATTGTCAAATTGGTTTCCATATAACACCCAGTGCTCATCCCCACAAGTGCCCTCCTCCATGCCCATCGCCCCTCTTTCCCCCCACCCCCTCAGCCCTCAGTTTGTTCTCAGCATTCAAGAGTCTCTCATGGTTTGCCTCTCTCCCTTTCCCCCGCCATTTCCCCCCTTCCCCTCCCCCATGGTCCTCCGTTAAGTTCCTCCTAATCCTCCTATACGTGCAAACATGTGATATTTGTCCTTCTCTGCCTGACTTATTTCGCTCAGCATAACACCCTCAAGGTCCTCCATGTTGCTACACATGGCCAGATTTCATCTTTCTCATTGCATGTAGTATTCCATGGTATAGATAAACCACATCTTCTTCTTTTTTTTTTTTTTACTTTCTAGGAGAGAGAGAGAG